AGATGATTAACTAACAAGATCACAATCCTATGGGTTATTGACCAAGCATGAGGTCCAGATGGCTGGATATTGGCCAGGTTCCCTTTTTGTGCGTGTTTATGGTCGAGACGGAGTCATGGTCCATAAACTCGGAAAAAAAAAATATCCAGCCATCTTCCTGCTGATATCCAGCCATCTTGACCGAACAAGCTCGGTCAATAAAGGATTTATTGTATGGCTTTCGGGAAAATGCTTCTTGCGGGACACAGAGGGTAGTCCCGGGCGGGCAAGATAGCGCCATGTTGTCCGCTCGGATGTCCAATCACGGCGCAAGATTTTGTTCGTCTTGCTCGCTCACTGAGCTAGCCATATAATAAATATACATATTTAATATTGCATTTTTACCTGGCACCTTCTCTCATCCAAAATCTCACCACATTCGGTTTTGGCTTCTCCTTCTCCAAATACGAGGCCGAGGAAGCACCGCTGTTGTACACCAGAGAACCCGACAAGTCGTCTTTAGTAGAGGCACTGCTCAGTAAAAGACCGTTCAATGACGCCAATCGTGGCATGCGCTTTGCCAAGTTGCTCTTCTCGTCCCAGGAGTCAAATTTCTTTATCAACTTCACTTCGGTTTGTTTGTCGCCGTTTGAAAGGAATGTGTAGTCACGTGGGGCCTCCCAGATTCCTCCCCAACGGTTTTTCCCATCGGCCTCAATTCGATACTGGAAGAATTTCTTTCAGGAAACAAGGCAGCAAAATAGCCATCAAGTACGGAATATCATTCTCGATCATTACAAGTAAGGATTCAGCTTATATAATGTGTTCTTGTAGCGGTGATCTATGACCTATGACAGTCACCCTATGAATATATTCACTGGCATTTGAAAAGGCCTTTTAAAATCAGTGTTATTCCGCGTGCTGGAAAATGGAGGAAAAATAGATCATTTTAATTTGTGATAATGCATTATCCTTTGACTAGAAACATTAACCGAAAAATGCTGGTAGGTTTTACAATGTAGAATATACAATGTAATATGTTCGTTATGTTTGAGGGATTGGCTGCAAGTAAGCCATACTTATTCGAGACGACTTTAAAATGATTCACCATAGTTTAATAGGTCATTTACAAAGATTACAGTTTTTTGGTTGTTTTTTGCCTGCAACGCACCACAGAGCTGCACAAATGCCATACATTTGGGTTATCGGCCAAACTCCTCAGCTTTCGTGTACCCGAAATCTGTAATTGCCTATATCAAGCTCAATCTCATTTTAAAAATATTTGATAATGAAATATGAATTTTTTCTGAAAGTGAAATTCTTTCTTGGATCTTGTCGTGTTTTATAGGACAACATAAAGAGAAAAATCTCCATCCTTCGATTTGATGTAATTTCGTTTGTTGTACTCATCTCAGCCTCAGAAACAATTTAGAATTTTAGCAAAAGGAAAATTAAACATGTCAGTTTACCAGTGAGTTACCTGTGATTTATCAAAGTCTTTAATGGCATCCGCCAAACCAAGAATAGAAAAGTCGTGTTGCAGTGAAGGCTTGTCTGCATTTCTCTGTTTGATGTTGTCCTTGTCCCACCCACTGTGAGTCTTGCTTGTGACTAGCAGTGTCCAGGGCCCTCCCTCGGTTGTGAAGTCGCAAACCGTTTTAACTTCGGACTGACCGGGAGGCTTAATTGTAAAAATGCCGCCTGCGAAAGGAAATCACAAAACACCAAATATTTGTACTTTTTACTTAACGATAGAGAGAAAATCAATGATCGAAAAATCCAATGAACGAACCAACTAACCAACAAACGAACGATTGAACGAACAAACAAACGAATGAAGGAGCGAACGAGGGAAAAAGACGAACAGGCCAATGAGCGAACGAACGAGGAAATCAACGGACGAGAGAAAAAAAATTGTGCCATTTCAGCTAATCAAAATAGATCATGACGTCACGAGCTATTAAGAGTTGCATGCAGTCACCAGACACTATTCATTTCGATAACCTAAAGAAATTTACCTGACACTGGGTTAGTTTGAAGCCCCCTGAAGTAGACCTCCATGCAGGACCTAGGAGTTTCATAAGGACCCTCTCGCATCCAGTACCAGATGTAAGAAGGCTGACTCTCTTGAAGGTGACCACTAATCCACGGTGCGGGATGATAGCTTTTATCATTTCCTAAAAAATGACGATAAAATAACCTGTTAACAGACTTCCCTTTCAGTACCTAGCTCTTGAATTGAAAACAAAACTGCCCTCAGGCTAAACGATCAATTCATGAATAAGACAACGACGATTACTTGTTTCATTACTAATTTTATTAACAATGTATAAAACTTAGAAGCAGAAGCTCAGGACAAACTGCTTTGTTCAAGTGGTGGGTAAAGCAAGATTGGAAAGCGTAGGGGAACAGCTTAAGTTACTTCTTTACCAGAGGAACATATATGCTGCTTAACAAAGATGTGGTTTTCGTTCACATTATCCAGTAGCTATTTTACAATTGAATGATTTCTACATTCTCTCAAAATAATATTAAGGATCTTCAAATTTTCGAATAGCCCCATACACAAAGTCAATAATACCACCTAAGTTTCTACCACAGTCAAATTTAAAACAGCACTAATTAGCACATTCCCATCCCACAAAAAAATCGTCTCGTGGTTTACATTGAGACCGGTTCTCATATGCTGCTGACATACCTGGGAAACCGGCTTGGGGCACCACAACGGCATATTTGAACATTTATCACCGAATCATAATCTGTTCCAGGCATTGAGCGCTTTCTTGCCTGCGAAACTGAGCTGCGTTCAACTTCGCAGGCTAGCCAGCAATTCTCTACTTTCAACATGGCGGATGAAGTCACACGTGAGAATTAATGGCCGGCCGCTGCACCCAAACTAATGATAAAGTTCTACTAGAAAACGACGTTGTACGTTTCTAAACCCAAAAAATCTCTTGAGAAAACCCCTCGACGATGATTAAGCAATAGAGTGGGTCTTGGTGTTTTCCTCTTCAGGGACACGGGAAAAATCTCCATATTCACGACTACGTGTCTAGAATTTTTCCCCAAAAGACTACATCCCTTACCACAGTAAGGAATAAAATTGACTAGACTTTGGGAAATTTTAAAAGCGACCAAGGCTAGTATGTTCAAAATTTCACGAAGAGAGTAGAATTAATGAAAGGTACAGAATGAGGAAGTGTGCGCCCAAGCGCCGTCATTCACTAAGGAATTTAAACAAGCTATGGAGTTATTTTTGTCTTTGTTTCATGTACCTGTTATGGTTCCCCACCAGTTAGATTTGGCATTGTTTGATGTCGTTAGCCTGGCGCCAGAAATCCATGGCATTCTTTGTTCAATTCCACTATCAGAATACTTCCAATTGTCAAACTTCTTGATCAGGTTGATGTCCGTTTGCTTGTTGTTTGTAGCTATAAAAGAATATCCTCTTTGTGCAGTCCAGATACCGCCCCAGTGACCTGCGAAAACGTCAAATCAATCTTTGAACATCTTTGAAACCTTGCAGGCTAAGATTATCGACTCGAATTTATTGCTTAAATCGATGTTAAGGGAATGTAACATTCAAGTTAAGGACGTGTACAAGTAACACGCTGAATACACGAATGTCTTGTTACTGTGTTAAGGCAAAATCACATATATTGATAAATTTGTCACGAGCTTGAGACAAAGACAAAGTCTGATGAGGAGTCCCCGACAGGACTCGAACCCATGACCTCCAATCACGGGTTAGGCGCTTTAACTACTGAGCTACGGAGAGACTCTTGGTGAGCTAGTCAAGGCGTATAAGTGACACACGTCCTTCTTACTCCATAGTATTTATTATTATGCTGTAAATAAGTATTTATCAACGTACCTCAACATTTATTTATTAATTTTTTTGTAAACTAGTTATTAACTATTGGCTATTGAAACAAATGAATATTTCATCTTGATCACTATGTTGAAGTCGACACCCTGACTAAAATTCTTAAATTTAGTGCCTGATTAATTTTAACCCATCGTTTAGCTTATCTCTAGTTAATCATAGCTCCTAGTATCAATTATATATAAATGATTACCAGTCAAAAATAGTTCGTAACGCTTGTAATAAACGTTTTCGTAAATCATTGCCTAAGTAGTTGAATAGTAAGCTTATTAGATATCAATGGTACAATATAAATATAGATGTGACCCGCCTAGATTAGCCGAGACTACCTGCAGGTTCATGCTGTTATTTTATTTAATTTAAGTTTCTAACTTAATTATTTTTAATAATAAAGTGTAGATGGAAGACAACTCATTAATCTAAAATTCATGGCTGTGAATTAATGAAAAATGAATAAAGTTTTGTTGTTGTTTTTGTTGTTGTTGTTGTTATTCACCAATCTGAAAATTTACCATCTTTCATTATTTTTCACACATCTTATATGTTGTTCCAAAATACTTCGTCAGCCTACCGAGATCCTCAGCCTCAACTTAAGACTGTGATTTCAAACGTATGGTAGACATCCCCCTGATCGGTTTTATTATGTACCTACCAGACATCTGCCGCTAAGTGCAACAATTCTTCAAAATTAAACGTTGACAAATTTTAATAGTAAAAAGGCTGCTGTAAACACATAATATTATCTCCGTTAACATTACCTCGACTTTGAGCTTCTAGTCGATATTCAAACTTAGATCCCGCCACGTTGATGTTATCCTTGATATTGTCAGCGTATTGAAGGATAGAGTAGTCTTCCTTTAGCTTTGGTGAATCTGCGTTTCTCAATTTAACGTTCTGTGCTGTCCAGCTGTTGGTGTGACTTGTAACCAATAGTGTCCATCCACCACCGTCACGTGACATATCGCAGTATGTCATGATTGGCTGGGAGCCTGTAGGAAAGATCTTGTAGACTCCGTCGGGATAATGATGGTTCTTTTCCACGCCGATTTTCTGTAATTGGCGGCATGACATTACCACTGCATCAAACAAATGTGAAACAAAACAACTGAGTAGTACATTCATGTGGTACAGTTTAATCTTCCTTTATGCTTAAAGTGTTTAAAATGCCTATATATGGTTGTACCGTAATTACCCAATCAGAAGCCGCGTCTACTGCTCTGATATCTTACGATATCAAGTCACCGATCCGGTGATGCTGGATTTTTGGCTAACCCTGGGTACGGTAAAACCCTATTTGTATCTCTGTGCGGTTTGATGGCAGGTTAGGCTCGCCTGTTGTCATCGTATATGGGAATTTTCACCAAACTCGCCAGATACACCACTGTGTTCCAAAAAGGTACGATCAGGTATAAAAAAAGAAGAGAGGTATATTTTTCAATCGGTCACCCTTTTTAGTACTATTTCAGTACGTTCAGTTCAAGTGAGGAAAATGACATGAATAAGTTTTGCGAACAATGGCTGATGAAAAGCACTCTCATTTACATTTTTAGCACATATTCGTTTTTACCAACTTGCACTCACCAGGGCAATCCTCAGTGTTACAGTCTTCTGTTTGCTGTCGGACTCCAGGGCAGTCAGCTCCACCATGTTGCGGAAAAGGATTGTTACAAAATCGATGTCTCTTTCTCCTGCCGCCATCACAGCCCTTGTCACAGACTGTCCACGAGGACCAATTTCCCCAGGCTCCATCTCGAGCTACCAACGCTAAAATGAGTAAGTGTATCGACTTGGTACAATTTGAAAGTCTGTACAAATGAAATAACACTGAGAACTACGAGATCTACGATGCACACTCAAGTTTTGTAATAGAAAAGCTAGTTTTCCAAGTGTTATATCAGACACGAAAGACCACGTTTCACCACGTGTTTGAAAATACGACGAGTAGCGGAGTATTTTTGACTAATTTCAACGCGTTTGGAAATGTATTCAAACACGGTCTTTCGTGTTTGATATCCAAACACAGTCATGGTCATGATTCCCTACGTTTGAACTTAATCAATTATTAATGATTTTCGGACACATAAATGTTAAATTGATATAAGCTTGCAAATAAAACGTAAGCGCTATCGGATTTTTTTTTTTTTCAAAAACTTGCAGCATCTATTTTACAGGCTTTGCGATCACTTGACCCTGGCCAAATCAGAAATTAGGTACTCTTCCCGTTATTTTTCATTTAGGTCCGATGCCAATGTGATGATAAAGCGATAAGAACAACTTTCAAAATGTATAGGTATAATTATTTTAACTGACGCTTACCAGAAGCACAGCCACTTTTGGGATCAAAGCCACCTTCACAATGACAAGACTTTTTATTTGTACATACCTAAGAACGAATAGCCCGGTGTAATGCATCAAGGAGAATCACATTGTAGTGAAAATTGTAGCTTATACGGACACGTTTGTTTTTATCTTCTAATCTTTAATCGATTGTTAACCCAATTGTTCGTTGACATATCATCTGCCCGCTAAGAAAAGTTTTCTACGGTCATTTTTTATGAAGGTTTAGCTTTATAACAAACATTTATAATGAAACAATTTAGTGTAACGGCCCGATGTGATATATCAAACATGAAAGACCTAGTCTCTCCACATTTCTAAACACCGAGAAGACAGTTGAAAATACGACGAGCAGAGGAGTATTTTTGACGAACGTCGAGGTGTTTGGTAATGTGGTTAAACACTGTCTTGAGTGTTTTATATATCTTCTCAATCGAAAACGGAGAATTAAAATCATAAAAAAACAGTGTATATTAAGGTCAGATATCCAGACAACATCGTGGTCAAGATTTCCTTTGTTTAAACTTGATAAGTTATTTTAATAGTTCATTAAAATGAGTTTGAGAGGGAAATTGTATACTGTTCAAAACTATGGATAAAAGACGTGACACTTATATGCATGCGAAAAAGAAAGACTTTATTCAGGGAGCAATTGTATTAAATGAATTTATATTAATTCACCGTTTTTGTGATGCCATACTAAAGAAACCAGATCTTAAAAGAAGACTTTCGCTACCCTTGTTACACTACTGTCAGCTATAAATTGATGAGGTGACATATAACCTGTATTTAAAATAGTTTTAAAGACTTGTTAGACGCTTTCAACCTACTCACCCCTCTACCTCCACACTCTTTGTTGTCTACAGTTGGACACGTGCCATTGTTGAGATCCTTAAATGTCTGGCACTGATAATTGACGCACATCTAAAACATTTTTGGGGAAAACAAATTTGAAGTAATTCATAACTTGACTTAAAATGCGTTCCTGTCAATCTTTAAAAGCGGTAAGAAATTTGTAGTCTAGATTACTTGTATTGGTTTGTGTTTCACGGAGACTTAATTGTACAATTACTGCAAGCAAGTTTTTAGGTCAAGTAAGAAAGCAATGATTGGGCTTTTATCAATGACTATGTGGATGCTCAGAGGTATCCGACCCCTCTCGTTTTTCCAAGTAATCAGATATTTAGCTAAGGAAATATATCCATATGGTTTGTCATGCAATTATTTAAATGCTTTAGTGACGTACGCAGCATAATTGTAACGTCATAAATTCAACAAATCGCCAAAATCGATTAAAAACTAGAGAAAAATAAAAGAAGCAAAAACGTAAAGCAGAAAATTCTCAGAATTGGTAACATCAAGCTACAAACAAGGTTGCTGTGGAAACGGCAGGACACTGACAAAAAGTCAGTAGTATGAAAGGGTAAAATTTTATCAGTATCGATTTAGTAGGTCTACTTAAATCAGTTTTAGAAAGGTAACAATTGCCAGAAATGTTGCTTTAACAATCAAAATAAAAGGCTTGGGTGACGGTCCATTTCCTGTATTAAAATACTATGCCCTTGGTACCTTGTCAGCTCCACATTTTGTTCCGTCTCTGACCATTCCTTGACCAATACTATCTGTTGACTTTAACGTTGCAGCACTGTGGAAAGTAAGAACATGAGAACATTACAATGGATCAAGATCATTATTTTCACACTCTTCACAGTTTATCATCAGGCAGAAGAAAACAATTAGTTTTTGTCGCACAACGAAAGATCTTGAATTGAACCATGCGAGAACCATACGAGAACCATACGAGATCAACTGTTGTTTTCTCTCCTAGAGTCTCTCCTCGTTTAATCTTAACTTTAAGGCTATCTCACATACGCTTAAAGTATGTTATCCGTTAGTTGAGGTAGAAAATGACAAGCAAACAGAATTCCACACCTGCATTGCTTTCCGTTATCCAAAGCGATCTTGGAGTATGTCCATCCATAGTCTACAACGGGAGAGTTTCTGCTGTCTTCACATTGCAGCTGGCCACATAAAACGTCACTAAATATTTGAAAAGTTCATTTATCTCAGCTTGTGTTGCCGTGATATGGTTATGGTGCGTAGCTAATCCTGCCATGATAACCATGCTGGTGGCAAATCAGTCAGATTTGCAAAGCAGAACGAAATTTCGTAGAGTGTAGCAAATAACATTTCGACATTTCCGTGAGATTTCGTTTAAAGCGAAATTTCATTCATTTTCGCCCATAAGCAGTCAAGTTTGTTTTAATCATAATCTGCATTAGTTCATAGCGTGAAGTATAATACCAATGAAAATCAGTTTTTAAGTCAGATCAAAGCTCGATAGGCGTTTTCCGAGTTGCCTTTTGCATCTGTGTCAAAACGAGTCTTCGAGCGAAACCAGTCATATCAAAACGTGTCGTGTGTCCCCTACAGGATCACGTTCATGCACATCAAACACATTTGCATTTCAAAGGTTATGCACGAGAAATTGTTTTGAAATAGAGGTTCAAGGTAACTCAGAAATGGTCTATTACAACTAGTGGTTTGTATCCTGTGCGTGTATAGAACACAAAAAAAAAATAGATCGCCAGGGATGGCACAAGATACCCTTTGCTGGCTGTAGATCCGTTGGTATTGTGTATGACCAGGGACCTCAACCCTTCGATTGTGTTATATGAGAAATAAACTTGCATGGAGTAGTATGAAAATCGATCTTTGTGTTTTGAACTAATAATTTGAACAGTTTACCTGGCAGCGCAAGATGAGTTGGTGGTTGGATCGCATGTACCGTATCCTGCAGCCTCGGTGTTAAGCTTGTCATAGCATCCTTTGTCGGCGTTTTTGGCAGCTATAATTGGTTACAACAGTTACAATATACTTATTTTGATAAACATTTTTCAAGCTACCTAAATACTCAGGGTGCAGGAAAATAGAAAGCAAACATAGAGGGATGTCTCAATCGCTCCATTTGAGGATCAGTCTTTGAATTATACGAAGGTCTAAGGTGTATAACTGGCTCTTCAAACCAACTGATAACCGAAGACAAATTTCATCCAAAGCAAAACATAGAGTTATCAAAGAATCATTTACATAGACAAGCTGCGCACTTACTAGCTCCCCATAAGTCCTTGCACTGAGTTTCGTGAATTTCGCTGCATTTTCCAAGGTAACAAACAGACTAACAAAAAAAAAGAGAGATTACATTTAAAACAGGTCGCACTTTAAGTGAGATAATAAATATTAACTCGTTCAAGTTGAATGGCGTACGTTTGAGTGGCTTTTGTCTCCGCTCTCTGTGTAGCCTGTCCACCGCTGACCATCATCACTGTAGTACAAGAAAAATCCGGTCACCCAGTCGTACCAATTTCCGCGTCCTTGTATTAAAATTTTGTTGACCGTTTTTACCTAAGATTGGAAACAACAACAACAATTGTAAGCAACTTGCCAGTTTACCACAATCTGAAGCTTTCAGACAAATAACAAGTACACTGGTAACTGTTTTTAACCCCTCGAAAGGAGCCTTAAGCGGGCGGCAAAATATTGCCTTACAGCACTTTAGAAGCTGTGACAATGATGATTTTGCACTACGAAGTAATGTTTTAATTTACTACATTCTTGGGACTCAGTCGGTGAGGAACTGTAAGGAAATACTTCCTCGTGCATGTAATGATTTTAGGGTGAAAATAAGGTCGATTTGAAAATATTTTGTATAAATTTCCATACAATCTTAGAAGGTGGCCACAAATGTGTACAAACCCAATGCAGGTGGAGTCGAACCTCTCTAATACGGACACCGAAGGGACAGAGCGAAGTGTCCGTATTGGAGAACTGTCCGTATTGGGAAGGTCACCAAGATGACGTAACTTTTAAGTCTTCACTGACAGATTAGAGTGTTAAGTAACTAAAATCAGGCCCAAAAGTGACATTTTCGACAAGTTCTAGTATTGGTATCAATTCGTGTGAATGTTTGTGTAACCGCCGACAGAAAATGGTACATACCGCAAATTATCGACACCGCGTCCCCGGAGTGTCCGCAATCGAGAAGTTAAATCAGATTTATATAAATTTGCTCCCTAGGGCCGAGATTTAGTGTCCGTTGTCCGTTTTAGAGAGGGTCCGTATTATAGAGGGCTTTTTTTAGAGGAAATGTATGAGAATGATGTCGGTACATGGGAAACTGTCGGTATAAGAGAAGTGTCCGTATGGAGAGGTTCGACTGTACAATGTACTGTATATATACTGTATCCTTCAAATATCTCCTCAATTAATTTCACAATTCCTCTTTTGATTCATTTCCCTAACTTCATGTTCTCGAATTGTGCAAGCTTGCACTTCAGCATAAATAAACCTTTTTACTTCAGTCGAATTAAAGCAAAAAAGACCAGCGCGAATAATAGCTTACCAACAGGCTACAATCGGGTTTTCAGAGCTGAAATAGACTCGTGCTTAGATTTCATGGAGATGGAGATTTATACAAATACATCCGAACCTGTTTGATATAAGCACCAAACTGGTATGGCCAAGTTTTCGTATTATAGAAGTTTTCATAATATATAGATTTAACCAAGCCTAAATGCGGAGCTCCAAAGTCATTTATTTGGATGTTGCTAATAATTAAAATTATCCAACACGTGCGGCAAATTTTGGACGATTTTGTAGTTCTGGCCCAAAATTGCACGGCATCCGCGTTGGATTACATTGTAATCCAAGTACCAAACTGGTATGGTCAAGTTTCCGTGTTATAGAAGTTTCCATATTGAAGAGGAAGTGATAGCACGAGTTCTGGTTTCTCTGGCACCACGTAAACTGTTCATCCTATAGAGTAGTCCATAACACACACAAAATAATTTGTTTACACAAAAGGCACAGAAGACTTTACTAATCTTACACACCTGACCGAGATCAACTTGAAAATATTCATTTTCACTTTTTTTTGCCGCGCACCAGTACTTTCCATTATGCAACCGTCCATATTGAGGAAGATCCGCTGGTCTCGATGAGCTGGCTGTGATTTGGTCATCCTTGATCTCACCACTCTCCATTCCAAGCGGTTCTATGCACTCTTTACATATGAGATTTACAACGAAAGAACAAAATAAGTATCGACCTTCTTGAAGTTAAAGGAGTGTTTTTACAAAAAGCAAGTGCTTTTTCAGTTACTAGTGTAACCTACTAATTAGAGAATTCAGAGTTCAAAATGAAACTTACACGCGAGCACAACAGCAATAACTGAATCAATAACTTCTTTAAAATAGTGTTCTGAAAAAAGATTTACCTTGTTTCTTGAACCATAACTCTAGCCTCTGCTCATTGCATCCTGACCACAACACCATGTATCTGCCCTTACCAGGCCAAGCTCCGTTGGTGTGTATACATTTACCAGTCTTGACATGTTTCAAAGACCGTCCTATCAAACGATCAAAACCAAAATCCACTTATAAGATGCTAACACCAACCATGTAGGGAGATAGAACAGTAGCTTTAAACAAGAGGGTTACGCTGAAGGCTTTCTATAAACCTCTTTTGAGCAGCCACAACGGAGACGTTGATGAAATACTTTGTATAATACCTCCCGTGTATTTACATCCAGTCCGTTTATGCCCTACGGCTGAATCAATATAAAAATTTTTTTCTCTTTAAAAAGACCCATTGGAGTTTCACTATTTCAACTGGTCGAGGATATCCAGGAACTGTGCTACGTAATATTTATATGGTATGTGCTGAGACACTAAAGAATACACTTCTCTTATGGCTAGTGCCTTTGCGCTTTCAATTCTCCCGTAGTTCAGAAACGTATCATTAGGCCAGCCTGAGAAAAGGTTGCTGGTTTAGCCTTTGACGTGTCTTTAGTACTCCATCCAGATATCAGTGGTTGAGACGCTAACTTTGTAAAACACTTTCGGAGAAATTATCAACCTCAACATCGAGTAGAGAAGGTGCCCTGTTTTGTCCGCAGCTCTTAGACAAATGAAACCATGCTTCAATGCTCAGTTCCTTTTAAGATATTCGTCCGCAGAGAATAATATTAGTTGTTATTAAACAAGTAAAACATGTCCAGGACGAAGACAACTACTATGACTCCTTGCAAGCACGTCTCATATAGGCCAATGGTTATTTTCAAATGCTACTTACCTGATGTACGCTCAAACTTGGAGTTTTCGATTGTGCATGTGCTGCTCACAACAATTTTTGCACCGTTGTGAGTTGCGCCATTTTCAGGACAGACCATGTTTCCGCTGCAGTCGTGACGTAACACTCCGTCAGAGCCCAACGTGAATTGAAGATGATTTTCTCTGCACAAACCACCTACGTATATTAGACGTTCGTTATCTCCTGGAGAACAAGTCTTGCTTGAAGGTGTGAGACACAGATCGAGGCCATAAGACATCAGTGGTGTTGGCGCAGTTGGGTTTACTGTTGAAATCATATCAATCGATCACATTTTACTTTACTTGTTGAGAAAATCCACCTGCTGATTGGCGTCACTTAGTGCGTAAATGTCAGTCAGTACATTGAGGTCAGTACATTGAGGTCTCATTGCTCAACAACAATAGTAAGACAATGAATCCAACATTTTTATCAAGAAGTAAACCCTTTTTATCTTCGAATTCAAAACAGCATTGATAAGCTAGTAACATAAAGTCATTGTGGTTTGTGGCACGACCAAAAAGAACAATTCGTCTTATTTCCTCCCCGTTTTCCCACAAAAAAATGAGAAAAAACCGCACACGTTACGATTGCCCGCAACAGTTTCCGGAATTATTCACGACTTCATCATAAAAGAATCAATACAGGACTTCTGATTGCGAATATAGTTACGGTATTTGTTTTACGCGTTTTCAGTTGCCAGACATTTCTTTCCTGAGAAACGATGCGAGGATAATAATTTACCTCAGTCCGTGAATGTGATAAGTAGACGAGGTATACGTTTCAAATCTATTCTCCTCCGTTCGGTGAGTAATAGATATTTATTCAGCATCATTTAGAAGTATAAAGCATCAACAACACAGAATTATCAGCGCCTTTGCTTCACAAAAGAGTCACCTTAATTAGACTTGGACCCTGACAGAGCGGCTCCCTTTGCAAACATTCAAGCTCTCAACGGGTTCCCTGCAACACTGAACTTTCCATAAAGCGCACTGGATTTCAGTGCAAACATTTTAATAAGGCGTGTGCTTTTAACTTGTATTTTTTTTAATTAACCACATCCTGAAGATTGAAATATCCCAACCCAAGTTTACCAGTTTCAATATTTTCACGTGCCACCATTGCAAGCGTTGCTATGGTCCCTGTTGTATTCTTAATATCCCTCTGCTGAAACAGATACCAAGCAGGATAAGCCGTGTGTCATAATTTATTACCTTCACCCGATGAGCAGCCAAGAAATTCCGTTCGAAGACATGGCCATCCATACCAGTGTTGAGGACTGATACGAAGATAACGAGCACTGATTCTAGGGTTCAGTTCCCGAGTGTTCACACTGTAGTAGTTTGTATTGCCTAGTATGACCTTTAAGGAAAAATAACAACATTAAGTGGCAGTCTCTGTGGATCGGAAAACAGTTCTCCCTCAAACTTTGCCCAGTAAACCATGTTAAGTTATAGGTAAATGCCACGACTTTAGTTTTGAGAAATACGTCAAAATAACTTTTCTGAGTTTACAACAATCAAAGCTACAAATGGTCTAATTTTGAGCATAGCCAAGATGAAAAATTGCCGAAATTGACAAGCTCACTGCCCAAGACCCACCGGGTGCAACAAGAATTTTTATTATTCCTAGCTAGAGGGTTCCTTCAAAGGTTAGAAACGCATCTTACTTTCGATATGTTTTGATTTAGAAGTTATTGGAAAATTTTTTTTTAGCATCCGATACTTCACATTCTGAAAACCCGCGAAAGTACCCTGTCTTCGTTGGCGTTCATTTCTCAAGTCCAGATTTTAGCTATTGCCCGAGTATTTGAAATCCAACCCTCCCAACCAACATATTTCTTGTCCTTCCAGATTCTGGGAGGTCACATGAACATCCACAACCAGGATCTCTCCCTTTCTCTCTTTCTAATCAACAACCAGAGAAGCCAGGGAGAGAGACCCTTAGATCGACGTTGATTTTTTTCTCAGTTTAAAATACATACGTTTTTCTACCATAACACACCCTTCAAAACCCCCGAGACATATTTACCCTTCTCAAATCAAGATTAAGGAGGAAATTCTATACCAGATGTCAGAATTGTTAGTTAAATTTTCCGTATATTTAAATCTAGACTACATTTCAAAACAAAACGTGTAATTAACGCTACAACAGTAGATAAAGTTCGATTTTTGGAAGACTTGTAGTCGTTAAAAAAACATCTTTATAAAATTAATAATCTCATTAGTGCTTAAATTTAAGCTTTTAGCTCAACACTAAGCTTTGAAATGTGGTTGCCATAGAGAAGTTAAACTGCGTAACTAAACACTCGATAAACCAAAACGCTACTTCATAATCTTTAGGAAAATTTACAAAGTTTTATCACTATATCTTCAATGCATGCTGTTAGGAAAGTTTGAAATCACGACGAAAGCAATCTAAGCGTCATCTCAAGTTAACGGTTAATTCGCCATTATTACGTCAAAGGCAGCTTTGAATGGGCCCTTTTTTTTCACAAAAAACCGTTGAAGTACCTGCCCGTTAAACGTACCGTTTCCGTCTGATTGCATGGATATCCATCTAGGATATAAGTATCCTCTGGACACTGAGATTTGAGAAGAAACACAAAAATTATCAGCAAAACTAAACAGGCAGCTTATCTCCAGCATGAAGGAAGAATATCTGCCAAATCTGTTAAAAAAAACTTGTGTCATCCCGGTCTCTTCTTTTTCTTTTTTTGCCCACCTCTCCTCTTCGCACTTTTTCTTGAGGAAGATGTAACGTAATATTACAAAATATTTTAATTCTTGTAAAGACTTTTCTTTTCGGTTCCCACTTCTTTGGGACTTAATTCCAGCCCTTTTTTCCCTACCACCCGTACAGTCCTCACGCGCTCTACTCCCAGGTTCGCTCCAACCTGCACCATTCATAAACTAATGTCTTGGTATTGCTATAAACAACTAGTACACAGAGTAACATGTGAAAATAAGTAGGTCTGATAGCACAGTTATCTAACTCTTACTATCCCTAGCTACGTACGTCACTTGAATCACCAGGGCAATATTCTGGCACGTCACAATCTGTTTTCACTTCGCGGCATAAGGATCCTTGTTTCTTAAACTGAAAAACAATTGTCATGGAGCCTGTCACTCTGTGAAACATTATAGTATCAATAACAGGCTGACAAACATCATTCCAATTAAGGAATGAAATTTGGTTTAAAAACTTTTAACCTCAAGTTGGCTCAGCAGACATCTGATGACAGAGATGAGCCAGGTTATGTGAAAATAATTTACACAATGGTTGAGACCCATCTCAGACCCAATCCAACGAAAGCTATATGGAACAGTGCCGGTTATTATGCTTTGCCCAGGCCAGTGCCTTTAGCCTGTTCAAGGAACACGTGACTTTAGACTGCAAGTAAACAATTTGAGTTCAAAAGGAAGTTCTTCAAGTTCGCTCAAAATCTTGGGGAAATGGTGCCGAAAAATGCATTGAAAGGACAACAAGATGCCAGCCCTCACTATTATCCTTGTAAATACAACGGCTACTGACAATCAAACTGGATCATTAATCCACCTCACCTGAGCCCGTTATCCACATTAATCAGCGGAGTGGGGTTATCGCGACAATGCGGACTAAAATAGCCGTAAAAACATCGCGCTTTGTTCAAAAAACAAAAATTGATTGCGTAGGAGCTCTTTACGGGATGTGCAGAGTTTAGCAAAACAACGAAGGTTATGGGAAATTCAAGCCTGGTTTCCACAACAACAAAAGCACAACCACAAGCATAAGCATAACGGTAGTGAGGACACCAGCAACACAAGCATATCACGTAGGCATGCGCGGTGTGGATAATTTCCTTATTTTTTGTTCTGTACCTCCTCGACAGAGTAAAACAAGATGGTGGACTTTTGATTACACTCATGCTTATGCTAACAGAAGCGAGTTCTCACTTGACATAAGCAGAAGAACAAGCAGAAAAAACGTTGCTCCGCGTATGTTTGTGCTTATACTTGTGTTGTAGGCGTCCTCAGTAAGGTTATGTTTGTGCTTGTGCTTGTACTTATGTTTATGCTATTTTTTTCTCGGTGTTGTTGATTTTGTAAATTATCTTACCAGGCAATTCTTGCAGCATGCGTGGTGTAGGTCACTGCATTGTGATTCAGTCTTGAGAACACATTGATGGGGTTCACAACAGGGATCTTTAGCCATGCACATCTGAGGAGAACAAAATAAACTTTCTGGTAACTCTCTCTCTCCTTGATAAATCTAAGGCGAAAGAGTTACCGAGTTTGATCAATATTGCTTGAATAATACTTGTCTTGCATAAATATCCTTCCAGAAGTTAAATTATTTAGTGCTGAATGGGAGAGGAAGCTAAAATGGCGGGGCTATAATAGTTTATATACATTATTTTTGTCTGGTTAGCTTCATTTGTATGGACATTTCCAGTTATATTACTACTGCTCGAGCAATTTCTTGCACAGGTGCTTCGCCTGCATGAGGTAGCAAGATGTCCGAAAACACGATAGTACCGTTATTTGGTGCAGATAGGGCTATTCTCGCGTCATTTTTGTTGAGCGCGGCGCGCGTTCCTTTGTGACACCCATGCAAGAAGAACTTTGCTCGTATTGCCGGGACTTTTACTTTAAATAAACAAACCTCGGGAGTACCGCAGTCGCATTCCTCTTCCTCTTCACGTATTCCGTTTCCACAAATACTTCTAATAGGCTATAATAAAAAGCAGTGATTTTCTTATTCAGTGTAAAATTGAAAACGCAAACTTTTGCAAAGAAATAAAAAGCTTTTTGTACTAGGATTAAAGCTTTCACTGTGCAAGGTACCGTAAAAACACTGCCAATTGTGAGATTCCGAGGTTCAATTGCGCGTTTTTATAAACATTTAGAGTTTTACCCAAATGTGTTAATTGCATTTGGTTGGGTAACTAAAGCGAGATGGCTTTGTTTCCAATACAATTATTTTAGTATTCTTGTTTGTGGCCCATTTTTCGTTGGCGCCATATGTGTATGACATTAAAATGATCTGATACGATATCCTAGAGGCCCTATACTCTCCTATAGATATACTCAAGTACAGCATCAAGATAAAAGAATATAAAAGCAGAAACCGATCCATCATAAATTTTTTTAAGGTGTACTATACGTAAAAAATAAATACCGTAAATCCTCGAATTAGCGCCCAGGGTGCTTATTTCAAATTTAGGACAACACGGGGGGCGCTTATTCGAAGGGGGCGCTTATTTAATTTTTCCCAAATCGTGGCCTGATATGATCATTCTTTTAATACATCATCTGCACGTAAACATCAACATAAGCTGTTTATCGACATAAAACGCTGATCCTAAAGTTTAAATCGCGGCACTATTAAAAATTCACTTGGTCACAAACTGAAACAATGTACAAATGTAATACTACACGATGAGAACTATAAACCCTTTGCTATCTCATTACTCGTCCACAAAATAGGGGGAGGGGAGGGGGGCGCTTGTTTTAAATTTTGGCTGATAGGAGGGGCGCTTATTCGAGGCGGGACGCTAATTCGAGGATTTACAGTAATCCTTCATTGCACCGGTCTATGCTTTTATATTCTTCATTTTCTTTGATAAGCAACTTCGATCACTATTGATTGATCCAACGTATACCAAAATAATCCTCGTCCGCAGTTGCATGATTGAACATTTTATTTATGGATCAATATATAGGCCGCTTGATAAGATTTCTTGGTAGAATTCTACTGGTATACTAAGGCAAATGTTGTAATCTGATTGGCTGAGCTACTCGTACACTATCTACAGACATTAGAGTGCAGAGGCTGGAGCTCGGCAACGTTTTCTGGTTTGTCTAATGTTTCGAGGACGATTTAGAAATATTACGGGATAATTTTATTCTCAAGAACACTAAAGGAAGGAAACTGACCGTTGCGCGACTTTAAAACCTCAAAATTTCTCAATAAACCGATGAGCTCGTGCGCCCAACTGTAATTTCTAATTCAATCTGCGAGATTTTGTTAAAGCATGAAGTTTAACACTACGCTCAGAAATGACTGGAAATCATTGTTTTTTCGCACTCGATTTCCCAATGGGGTAATAGTTGATTCAGCCTCCTGCCTCATCAACTATTACCCCATAGAAATTGAGAGCTCATAATCTAATTGTTCAACAGAATTTTAAAGTAGAAAAGGTTAAACGTTTGCTATTAGCAAAATTCTTAAAGTTCTGGGGTTTTTTTAATATATGAACAAGAAACTTTTGAGGCGATAGCTTATGTACACGCAATACACTTAGCATTTTGAGAAGATTACTAACTAAAGATACCTTAGTCGGTACGTTGTACAAACACCAATCATTGAGCCTTTTTAGTGAGTCCATACTACAATTAGAAAATCCTGGAACTCTAGTCCTGTGAACAAATTACAATGTTAACTATTATATCGAAGCAATTTTTGTACTATGCAATTCTTACAACACATAACTGAGATCGCAATCATTGTACTAAAATGAATAATTCCGTTATTACTTTCTACCAGCTTTGGCTCTCATCGTTAACATATCTATAATAAGAATTTAAAGTAGACTGTTGCGCTTCAAACTCTATAAATTTTGATATTTGACTTTAATTAGAATAGAAAGAGTCTTCATGTACCCAGTATTTCCATGTTGATTTTTTTTTCTTGTTCTTACTTACTTGTGTCCACCCATAATGCATCCCCTTGGAGTTAGGCACTTACAGGATCCTAAAATTACCAAATAGATGAATATCAATAACACTTCTAATTAGAGAACAACATTATGGCAAGCCAGTATAAGATCCATATAACCGCTAATAATACTGCATGTTGCCACGAGACAGAAAGCATATGAACATATATGAATTATATTTCTTTACGTCTTAATATTTCTTAATATTTTACTATTTTCATTCCTTTACCATATAAAATGTGTGCACACGCCCTCTAAATTGCAAATCAAGAATTGAATTAAATTGAGAGAAGAGGCATGGGGTTAATCCAAGTGTTTTCCCGTGGCGCATATAGAGTCGCACTTCAGTGTTTTCCCTGTAGCAACTCGGGACAGGCTTCTGGTGCTTCTATATTGCCCAACTTTCCAGCCTGTGGACATTTAAGCTTTGTTATTGTCTAGTTTCACCTGAGTCATGGCTAAATCCAAAGTTGTGACCCATTTCATGAGCAACGACAACGTAAGGACCAATGATACTTCCGAAGTTCCACTACAAAAGACAGCAGTTAAAAATAAGCACATGAATTTCAGTCAAAGTTTCGGAAATTTTGTTATTAAGGGACAACATTAATTACACACTCTATTTCTTTAAAGAACAAAAAATTCAGGCCTATGATATTTCATATTTGGTTTCAAAAAGTTGGTATTCAACAGCGGCGTTGCTTGAGTGCCTTAAGTAGCTTGATGATTTGCATCGTTGTTACAGAACTGCACTTAGTGATTGGCCCACAAAAATCTCGCGTCGCTTTCCAACCATCAGAGGTGATAAAAAAATCAATCATTACGACTCTGTCTTCTTTTCAGTAAGGATCAACTAATAATAGATTTCACCGTTTCTTTACAATTGATGACATTCTTGACTTACCTGGTTTACACCAGATGAGACAGAACCACACATCCCAAATACATAAGCCATTCCTGCACAATCTGACCAACCCCATGCACTGAAACGAAAATAACATTGCAAAAACGTTAATTAATCATTTAAACAGCTTGATACATGATTAAAGTCTTTTTTCTCGCTTATACTGCGATTGAAAGTTCTTTCATATCCGGCCACATTTGCTGTTCGATTCAGTACCAATAAATAGTTAGTAATTATGTCTACAAATTTTTGTAAGATGGCCCGTGACCATGATGTTATATCAAGATTTGAAGAAAATAAAGCAATGGCTCAAGAAGAATTTAAGGAAGTACCAGATATCAATTTTCGCACAATTCTGCTGGTCTTGATTTTGATTCTGCAAAAGTACAGCGAAGAATAAAAAAATTTTCGAAAAACAGTCATTTCTTACCTTAGTAACTGCGCATTGTCGTGAGGAATCTTTTCCTTCAATTTTTGTCGATATTTGTTAAACAATGACAGGTCAGGTCCACCCTTAGATTCGCGCTCATAAGGATCACCATTTGTCCAGATTTCCAGTGCTGTCGTAACTATTCTGATATTTATTCGTTGATAAATCTTCACCGAGAAGAAATAAAAAGAAATTATAGGTATTTGACATCCTTAAGAGAGATAAACTGATTATTTCTGAGCTTAGTTTAAATGTGATTATCATTCATTGTTAGCATAGGCGATGCCCGACATTAGTTTTGCTGGACAACGGGCAATTTGATGGACTAAAAGGAAAAATGCTATGTATTACTTTAATAGGACTCTTGAAATATGAATCGTATTGCCTAAATTGGCCAGAATTTGACACCCAGTCCAATGCATGACCAGTGCATACTTGCCCAATAGACCAATTTCGATATATTAAAATTCAGCCTAACACAATAGACCTCAGCACGAGGCTCTGGGAAATAAACCCCACAAAGTCTGTAGTTATTCCCCAGAGCATCGCACTGAGGTCTATTGTTTTAGGCTGAATTTTAATACATCGAAATTGGTCTATTGCAATGACACTTTTTATCATCGGCTTTTCAGTTTACTGTTACGATATGCATATGGACCCTTCCCATTCAGCACAAACGTTCTGCAACAAAATGAATATCTATCGCCAGCGCTAATCAAGAATTATAACTGGATGAATTTACTATCCTCTAAACTGAGCATCATTGCAGACAATGCACTTTTTTACATTCCATCATTATCAATTCTGGATTACTTTTAACAGATAAACCAAGATGGCGGATGTTGTGACGTCTTAATCAACAACAAATTTGTCATCTTATAGAACATAAAGGTAATGTGTATATACCAATCGCAAAGTCATTTTAATGTGTCTTAGTAAAGCAAAAACCCAAGGGGATTTCCAAGCATTGAACATTTTGGACATTTTTAGCCTGGATATCAGCTACATTAGCCCCGATCTACTCGAAAAGACCTTTACAACATGATGGCATGCCATTCATACCATCGACATTTTTGCTCGGGCATGTGCAGAAGTCAATTTTTTATTTTTTTATTTTTTTATTTTTTTTTCGCCTTTCCTTTTTCTCCTTTTCTTATCTTTTTTTTTTCGCAGTCGTTGACCTACTACTGGGCTTGCTTCCAGTTTAAGAATTCCCGCGAAAGTATCATCGAGACAGAAATTTCTTACCCCTGAGTAATGTAGCCAAGCGTAGTAGAGGGAAATTTTGCCCCGACTTTTTCGCTCAAATTTTAAAGTATTTTTGTGCATATTTCACACTCAATTGACCCAATCACTCCGATCTGGGAATCGTAAGAGAGATCTTTTCCTCCTGCATAACTGGAGTATAAGTGATGCCAATTTTGGCCAAAGTTGATGACGTTAGAGGTGGAACAAAGGCCAGCGCCTGTCACGGGCGGTTACGGGCGGCACTGGCGTCAATAGATTAAATAACAAAGTAAATATCGACGCTATAGTAATTGGTATTTCTGACATTACTTACCGCATCAACAGCATTCGCTAACGCCATAACTCGGTCTTTAATGACGTTGGTGTCATTGTTGTATGCCTTGTACTGCGTGGCAAATGAAAGTAAAATAGTAAATATTTTTCAGGCGATTTTAAAGTTTATTGTAGAATAATTAATTTACTCAAGTATCCTTAGTACTAACCAGTTTAGAAGTCAAAATAAGCATGAGAATATTGCGCCAAAATACTCGTCAACTATAAAACTCGCGCTGCGGCGTCGTCGCTTTAGTAGAAAATCGTTATACTCGAGCAGTATTCAGATGTAACATCAAGATAGTGTAAAATGTAATCCAACTTTAATTTGGTTCAACACACTTCTTTAGGAAATAGAGACAGGATGGAACGAGGAAAGTTATAATGACTAATGTTTTGCCAGTAAAGGTTATTTTCAAAAAATTCCCCAAAAAGATATTCGAGGTTTAAGAGCATCGCCACCGGTTAGTATTTAAAGAAAACTACAACTGGAAATATCTATTCTCTTATCGGTAGAATTCCAATATACTCGACATTTATGCCATATTGGTTAGTACAGGACAAATTAAATAACAATTATCGATTACTAATTATTAATTATTAATTTAATTATCAGAAAGTATTAATTATAAGAGGTAAATTTAAGTAAGTTCCCCATTACTTAGCGTTCGAAAATCCACAAAAAACAAAAGGAGAAAGTGGAGGCGGATGGGTCACACCCTGAGGAAACCGGCTAGCAACATTACCCGACAGGCATTACGATGGAACCCTCAGGGAGAGAGGAAGAGGGGTCGCCCAAGGAACGCCTGGAGAAAGGGAGTGGAGTGTGAAATAAGGAAGTGGGATCACACCTGGTACACACTAGGAAGGCTTGCCCAGGACAAAAACCGATGGAGATCGGAAGTGGCCAATGCCCTATGCTCCAGCCGGAGCTAAGGGACAAATCGTCATCATTAATTATAAGAGATTAATCTAAGTAAGTTTCACACCACTTGCCATTCTAAAATCCACTACAAACAAAAGCTCGTTATAGCGAGTCTCATCTGTTGTCAGGTATGGTTTGTAGAATGAATCCATATTTGATATGCTGCGCCGCATCTGAAAGAAAACAATCGTAAATTAGAAGCAATAATTGGTCATCACACCGTTATATCTGATGATAGTTTTATCCACCTAGCAAATACTGTGGAGAATAAAAAAAATATTATATAATTAAACGATAATTATACAGTTTGCCGAGCTTCTCTAATCTTTTTGCCTAAGAGCACTCAATCACCAATGCAATATCATACTATATATGGGACTTTTACTTGTAATAAGTAATAGGAAGTGTTAAACTTTTACGTACTATAAAAGTTAGGAAAACGTGGCGATAAATCACGAAACATTTTGGAAACAAAAACAGCTTCAAATTTTAGCGGGCCGTACACTAGAATACGACCCTGTAAACTGACCAATCACAGCGCTCGTAGTAATTGAGAGATATAATAAAAGATGATAGACAAGAAAATATCGCAAAAGCATCTCTCTGATCTGTGACTGATAAAATACCCTGGAAAATGTTCCGGAGTTTTCCTTGGAAGGGTGGGAATCTGCTTCTGTGTCTTTGTTTCCTGAGAAAATGAGAAGACAAAGTGGAATGAGTACTTTGTTTAGCTATAAAAGATTGCGAAAAAACTTTTCTTATAAACATGTAAGAAATTTTTAAAAACGGTTAAAAAATACAAGACGTTCGGACGTTCAGGGACGTAATTATCAAGTTAAAAAAATTAATATTCTATAAATACAAGAAAAACAATAGTTCATTAAAAAGAGAGGTAACATAAAAATATACTACAAGTAGATTGTGTTGTTTATACAGCCCGACACCTTCAACAACGCATTGCCGAACACAAGTATTCGGCTATCGGTAAACACCTTTAAGAAGTGCACGGTAACAGAAATCTTCTTAATGAGGGCCAGTTTCGTGTTTGTGCCATGGGAAATTTGACTGCCTCGTTTACCAAATGCTATTCATCCAAGAACTGAGGCCTAGCCTTAACACTCAGAGTGACTCCATCAGTGCTAAACTCGTTTTATAGCTTGCAGCATATTTCTATGTTACCTCTCTTTTTAATGAACTATTGTTTTTCTTGTATTTATAGAATATTCATACCGTTTTTTTTTTCACTTGGTAATGACGTCCGAGAACGTCGAAACGTCGTATGTTTTTGAACCGTTTTTAAAAATTCCTTAAATGTTTTTAAGAAAAGTTTTTTCGCGACTTTTTTAATGGCTAAAGGTTTTAAAAAGTCGCTTCTTTTTAGAGTACTTTGTTCGAGTGAGATATAAATATGCATGCGACATACGAAAGGTTTGACTAATAAGGTAAATATTTCCTGCTGAAAACTTAAGAAACCACGATATAAAATATCTAAAAGTTACCTTTTATAATAAGAAGAAAAGTGAAAAAACAAATAGGCAATTTGTCTATCCGAATTTTAATTAAAATAAATAGTACATGTATATATTATAATAACCAATCATGTGGTTCTCAGACACATAATGATAACTAATATAAATATAGAAAACTCTTTCTGCAAGAAAACGCTTGAGAAAATTTGCTGGGGTCCCCTGCCAATAAGTAAAAACACTGAAATATTCCACAGGTCGAAAATTGATCTAAGAAACAGGGCGAACGCAAAGTGTTTTTAGATTTGAATAACAAATGAAATGTCTGTCCTTAAATGGCTGAAATCAAACCAAGCGAAAAACCTCGGAAAGAGATCTTGTACTTTGCATGACGTTTCGCTTACCGCAAGTATCAAGAATGTGATTGAAGTCTTCTTCCTTGGCTTGAAAAACTCTGTGAGCACCAGAGTTCTGGAGATAAAGAACAACACTTTCATTATCATTAAAAGTGTAAACAAGAAAAGACAAATACTCGTGATTACCTACAATCAACCAATTTTGTTGCAAAATTATCAGATCATCGCTGGTAGAGGAGATTAGATATTCAAACTTACTTCGTGTCCAGTCTCAGGAGTAATGTAAAAAGTATCTTTACCATCATCTATAATCCCCCTGTTAAGAACAAAGTAATTTTTAAGGCTAAAATAATATAATAACACAATAGTCATAATTGTGGCCTTTCGCTTGCGTTACATTTGTATCACCAGCTCAGTGAAAACACTATTTTGATTTGGAATTAACGTCCACGCTGCTATGTTAGTGGACATCCAGGAGAGATTTTTAATCATTTTATTTTACCTTTTGTCTACAAGTCTGCTTCTTGATAACTTGAATCTTTTAGAATTAGTTGCAAACGATAAAGAGCGCGAGGTTCTGTTTGTTTGTTCGGTTCATTTGTTTGTTTGTTTGTTGTTTCGTTTGGCTTCGTGGTCTCGTTTTGTTTATTTGCTGCTGTTGTCGTTGTTTTGCTTCTGCTTTTGCTTTTGCTTTTGCTTTGCTTTACTCTTCCATTTTTAATTAACTATTTAGAAACAGTCACCGTTGTGTGACACAAACCAAAAACTGCCTTTCGTCCCCTGGCAAATAACAATCAGAAATCAGAAGAAAGATCTTACCTTAATCCTGAACACGTGCTAAGTACAACACTGGAATCCTTCAAGCCACGAATGTTTCCTTGATAATGACAATGGTCCGAAACACCCTGAAAGGAGGGTTCAAAACAATTGTGATAAAGGGCAGTCAAAAATCGCTATCAGTAAAATGAAACTGTTTCAAATTCCTCTTGAAATCAAATTATCACACCAGTAGAATAAGACTGAGTACTTATCAACCGAGAGTGAGCAAGGCCGAGGTTTGAAATTTTCAAGTGAAGACCGAACGTTCGAGGTTAATAAATTGTTAATTAATGTGTCTTTTTGCTTTTGTTTTTGCAGGTTTTCCAGTAATCGGCCCGTGGGCATTACGGGAGAAGAATTCCCTAGAATTTGCCAGTCAGAACGCGCTTTATCGGCTGCAAACACAAGCCATGTAATAAAACGAGGAAAAATTTTATTGTCTTAACATAAAATTCTTCCAAAACGAATTCTACTCAACAGTGCCGGTGAAAGAAATAATAGACCATTCTTGCATCCCTCTACAGTGTTTAAAAACAATAACAGATTAAGAACGAGGCTGGGTGTACATTGTTTGTACTTTGCCCACTCTGACCTCGACTCGGCGCCACTTTTCGTTGGAATTAGGGAAAGGTATGTTATGCGTATGACGATGGTGTAACCTTGGTTAACTTTAATTTGCCTTAACCGGTTTCCAAAGATTAACGGTAAGCATTATGTCACATCTCCTTACTATACCTCTTGTATCGCTTCAGAGCCATCATTTTCAAACGTGCGAACTGCAAACGATGGGGAAAATAGCTCTCTGCAACATTAAATCAAACGATCTGTTAATATACAAATTCAATGTCCAGTCTAATACGAGTCATAATATTCATTAAATAAGCGATTTATTACTAAGTTAGTGCAGGCGTTTCACTCCAGCCTCTGTAGTGACATGAACTGACAAATAGATACTCCCTCATAATCGAATTCTGGCATTTTGTTAGACTGCCTTGTTTTAACAATTTTCCCGCTTGGCCAAACACAATGCATGAGGAGTTCATACGTGCTATAAGTCCTACCTAAGTATACTCAGTTGTATTAAATATGTGAAAACGTTATGGCCTCTGGTGCTGATTTATCGTGAGAACACTCGAAAAAAAATATATTGATTATTTTTTTATTTATTTATTTGTTTATTTTTGTTTTACTTGTTTCTTTTTATATCCAGCGTCCAGTCCTTGTCAAAAGCATCCAATCGATACGACGCGTCGTCCATGTGGTCTCCCTACAACAAAAACACCTATATTTTCTAAAACGTCCAGGAAAGGTGAATGCTACAAATACACATTTATCCGCCCCTCTTCAAATTATATAGCATAGCAATAAACATTATTGTTTGGGCGTGCTCTGTTTGCTGAGAAGGGTGTTTGACAAGGAATCAATAAACTCTCCAATTTTGGATAAACTTTGACTTTGTGGGTGACCACATGGCCGCTTTAATAATCATTTCAATTCAATGTCAATTACAAACAAATGAAGAAAGCCCTAGCTACACAGCAAAGGTGGGGGCCAAATTCCGCATCTAATATTTAAAGGTATATGTGGCTAAGACAAGGGTGGGGGAAGTGGGTAAAACAAAGTAGGATACGATCCCTCTGAGGCGGTCGAGTCCAAAAGCACATGAGATGGATAGACCGCCCAGAGGGTTCGAAGAATGTTCCAATACGATGCACCCGTTATTGGAATACCCTAGCCAGCATAGCTAGTTAAGTTTAAATGTTAACCGAGGGACAGAATAAAATATTTATTGTCTGGGCAATAATTTCTGTTTCTATAAAATGTTTTCCAAGAAGGAATGGAAATCACCCTCGCACCCCTGTGTCGCTTAAGTAAAACCAAAGCAATAACTCTAGCCAATCACATAGGTCGCAGACAAACCAGTGAACCAATCAATACTGGAAGCAAATAAATGAAGCTGAAGTGAAATACGGGAAAGTCTGTGCCATTGAGTCACGATTGATTTCGGTTTTACTTCTGATTGGTTAGAAAGTTGCGCGCGTTTTCTAAGCCAATCGCTCAGCATAGTAATGCGAGAACGAAGCAAAAGTGAATTACTTTTGACAATCAAGTGAAAACTGCTCTAACACCTTAAAGAAAAGCACAATTTTTTCCAAAAAAATTTTTTTCATGATTCTTTCCAGTTGACCTATCTTAGTCTCTAACGAGCAAAATTTGGGTCGATGAACGATCTTATGCATTGTTGGTTAATTTTGTAATTTTTTATATCTATGTATTTATCTACTTCTTGGTAATAAATCAAAACAGTTATTAACCTTGTAAGAAGTTGAAAGATCTCTCCTGTCTCGGCTTCCATCGACACGTTCTGGGTATGTTATGTGATAATGATCTTCATAGGTCCCCTCTGTAAATAAAATATATGTCCTTGTTAGAAGGCTTGAGAAAGTAAAAGGTTTATCAGGTACCTTATATCAATACAGCTGTTTTGAGAAATATTGTCCTACAAAAGCGTGCGCAACAATGCCAAAATGCACTTTGGGTAGTGGTCGTCCAGCATGGCTAGATCAAAGTTCACGTGTCTTAAGCCCCGGCCAAACGATCGCAACGTTTCAACGCAACATATCCCAACATTGTCGGGCGCAGCATGTTGCACGCGTTTGGCCACCCTGTTGTAACGTGTTGCGACATGTTGGGTGTTGTTGGCTCAAATTTGAAAATGGTCAAATTTTTCATGCAACAATGTTACCACCAGCCATGCACACTAGTTCCATTTTCAATACCATACAGCAACACGTCGCAACATAGTGGCCAAACGCACACAACATGTTGCGCCCAACAATGTTGCGATATGTTGCGTTTAAATTTTACGATCGTTTGGCCGGAGCTTGCAAATGCCGGGCCAACAATGTTGGCACATGTTGCGTTGAAATGCTGCGATCGTTTGGCCGGGGCTTAATATGGGAGGAAGGAGAAACCAAAAATGCACGTTCTTGACTTTTCCTTCTATGCTACTCAAAAACCAGGAACTTCAATCAAACAGTCTCTAAGTTTTCTCTTCGCCGTGTACTGTAAATAGGAATTAAGGACGTTCGCGCCCATTGTTACTGCGCATCCTTTCTGGGTGAAATTCATGTCGCACCGTCATGCCACGTCATACATCAAGCGCGCGCGCTAAAAAATAAGCAAGCAAAACTAAGCAAGTATAGGGTTTGGCTAACTTCGCCTGCAACTTACACTCTTAGATGCTCGGGACCTCCATTTCCCTTTTCGTAGATCAATACCTTTCCATATTTTATTAATTTTAACCAAAAAACAGGAAAGAGAGAGAGGTTACGTACTGGACTAAACAGGGGTTAGCTAACACCACATAGTACCTTTCGGCGTTGTCGAGTACGCTTTTACCCTTTTGTAGGCCCAACAACCTTTCTCGATTGAGCTATGTACAGCAGGTGCACTGGAAACAGAGACTTACCCGCAAACTTGAAAGAGGTCCAGCTTAAAAACAGAGCAAACGCACAAAAGATAAGCGCTCTGGCTGCTCTTTGTTTCGTCATCTCGGGTATGTTTCTCCCTTAGGAAAAAAGCATCAAAGAGAAAAAAATGTCAAGTTTCGTATTGGACTGAACTTTAGTATGGGTAATCAAATGGTGACGGGGGATATTACGAAATAATTTTACGTGGGTTTTGTCAAAATTCTTATACTTTCCCGAACCTTTGGGCGCGAGAAATTATTGCAATTTTGCAGTCTGCATTTTCATTACCTTTTGATTATAATGAGTTACAAATTACCCTTACAATCGCGGGTTTTCAACTTGTTTATTGTATCGAGAACTCTCGCGCGAAACGTTGCGATGCCAATTTTGTAATTTCACCCGTGAAATTATAAATTAACGCTGAAAGCTCGAGCCAGACGCTCTTTAGGCTCGTCACTCAATCTTCCTCCACCACGAACATCGTTCGAAAATTATACTCCGTCAATTCAACCGTACTAAAAAATTTTACAAATAAAAGTAAACGAATAATAATCGCTAGAAGAAATGTAAAAGTGAGATTTACTCTGAAAATTCGATACAACCAGGTTCATTGCAGTTCACAAAAATCATACTGTACTTTTGGCAACAGTCATTTTCTTTAGAGGAATAGTGTAATATTCCACCCTGGGTATTGCTAATAATGACATGATAATAAGTTATTGGGAATCGCTCTGGCCAGTGAAAATCCCGGCTAAGTAGAAGTGGACAGCTGAGATCAAGCCCGACTTACTGGTTAAGTGGAACGATGGGTCGCCAACTTCTTCGCCTTGACGGCCTTGAGTAGAGTGATGGGGTGGAACACGTGTCAATTCTTTTATACTGTCATTTGCATAATCCCGAGGGTATCATTGAGTTCCATAGTGACCTTTACTTTGAAAGAGGCTACTGAATAAATAGATTTGTTTGTGAATCGTGCGATTTACATTTAGATTATGCTGACTTATCCCGACACTTCCATCAACACATCCACGAAAATCAGGGATTGGAAGCAAGTACTAAGTGTTAGAATAACAACGATTAGTCAAAAAATCGTGAAAATTAGCCAAACAGTCTAAAAACAGTTTTTTGCAAAGCATAAAAGTAAACTGTACTGTTTACTTTTTATAAGACAACTAGAGGACTTTGATTTGCATGTCTCTGTTGATCGCTAGTAATTGTTGTAGCCACGAGAGTTTAATTTTTCTGTTTTTGTCGCTTTTTCTCTTTTGTTTTTTGTCTTTGTTTGTCATCTGTTAATTTTTGCGTACTTTTTCATGCAATTTTAAATGTAAATTAGTTTTTTCACGTCGTGTTATGTAATCGTCTATTGTTTATCACGTAACCTCGTGAAGTCTATTCTTTTGGTTCAAAATTCCGTTTCTTAGCGTTGTAGTTTTCTAGTTGTGTTCACTCGTTGTCAGTTCCCGAGTGCCGTACAGATCTTGTAAGTAATCTCGTATTTTCCTTTTCGTTTTTTTTATATTTTTATTTATTTATTTATTTATTTATTTATTTATTTTTGCTGCTTTTCGTATTGTCGTATTCTCGGTTTATTTAAGTTTAAGGTCGTGTTTATTAATTCTGTATTTGCTATTTCCTTTTTAAGTGAATCGTTAGAATTAAAGACGAATTCAAAAAGTACAGGAGTGTTGTTTACAATTATCATTTTCGCTTTCAGTCCTTTTATCGTTTTCAGCATTCTAGGCGACTTCTGAAATTGAAAATGTTTATGCTAATTTTACTCAGTCTTTATCTTAAAATCTTAATCTCTTAATCTCAACTTCTATAACAAAAAGGTTAACTTAATAGTCGGGAATGCACGAATAAAATAAGTTTTGACATTTTCCTCACCATTAAGATTGTAACGTTATAAATCCTATAACACCTCTGAAGTAAATTAATTCAAAATATACCGCAGGAGCAAATCAGAATTTTCTTGACTTACGTGGAGAATAACCCTTATTACATTGCTATACCATCCAACATGTATGTGAGGCAATTTCTGGCAATTCTGAACTTTCTGCCCGAAATTTCCGCGTATCCACGTTGGATTACATAAAACAAAATAACTGAATGGCAATATTCAGAGAGGAAGCCACATCAGCCTCAGCTGGTGTTCATGCGGGTCCTCTAGCCTGATCTAATTACAATTTGGAGCGTTGGCTTTTTCCGGGGGGAGGAAAACCGGAGAAGCCGGACAAAAACGCTCGGAACAAGGCGAGAACCAACAACATTGTAATGCAAATGAGAAAAGTTAACCGTGAAAAGCTATTAATTCATCTTTTTAAAAGGTTTTGAAAGAAGGTGTGAAATGCCAGCTGTCTGGGCCGCCAAGTTTGTGATATAGGCTGTATTACAACTAGGTGACATCAACCTTTGTAATTAATTTGCAGTTGAGGTAAAGTCTTTCTGTCCTCCTGCGTTGTAGTTGTAAAAAACGGGTTACCATAGAGAGAAAAATACATCACAATGCAGTTTAATTCTATTTTTTACCTGTTCTATGTGTGTTTTCACAGCTATGTTTGTTCAAGGTTAGCTGTTGTTTTCAACTACGATGAAACAGTGAATATTAATTTCTCTCAGGAAGATATCAGGAAAAGCGGGCCACTGTTCAAGGGTTTTGTGTAAGCTCCACAAATACAATTTCTTTTATCCTGTTTTCTAAGCCAGAAAGTCAATAGCTCCTGGCGTTCAAAAATGCACTAATGAGACCGTGGAATGATAACTTTGGACATAAATCACGGCTTTGAAACAGTGACATGGTGATTTTCAATCGTTTTCGGCAAGAAATGTGTTAATAGTTAAGAATGACAGTAAATGAGACAGTCATAAAAGCCTGAGCTTTGAATTCCTGAGAATTGAAGCTCATACACAAAGCAGCAGAGATTCTTATCGCGTCGTTTTAGTCTCGTTAAATCAGTCGAGAAATTTAACCGTTGGAGGAAAAATTCCCATTTGTCGAAAAATTATACAAGGAAAAAATTTTTTGCGTGTGTACTCTCATTAAAACAATTTAGAATGCACGGGACACTTTTGCTCCACCCATCGACTTGCTCACTTCAATCGTTCGCCAAATTACGACAGCGACATGCGGACTTACATAACCTGCTTACAGGAAAAATTCCCATTGGTCACAAAATTATACCAGGAAACATTTTTTTGTGTGTGTGTCCTAGATCGAGAGTGTACTCTCATTAAAACAATTTAGAGTGCATGAGACACTTGTGCTCTGCACATCGACTCGCTAACTTCAATCTATCATCAAATTACGACAGCGACATGCGGACTTACATGGCCTGCTTACACGATCTCGTATTTAAAACCAAGTATAGTTAAACAATAAAATTGCATTGAAAATAAGGACCAACCATCAACATGGCGATATTCATAAAATACCTTTAAACAGTATACAGCCCATGATGAAATCAACGTTTACTGCCAGCTATGGAAGGCAGGCACTTCTCTCGTGGCTGGTAACAGGTAAACCGAGGAACTTGCCTCAGTCTTTTATTTTGTTTTTTTCGTTGTTTTTGTTTTTTGGAAGGGGAAAGTAAAAACTGCTAGCAGATAAGTAAACCAACAAACAAATAATATTGCCTCAGTCATAATTTTTTCTGGCTGCGGTCCTGAAACAAAGAACACTTATTGCAACATAACACTTAGTACGGCACCGTGTAACAGATGACTCCAGATCAGAGATGCAACTTAATTAGTTAGAGCGAAACTTTTTTATGCAGCTGATTGCAAATTATATCAAAATAATTATCCCGGCTATTATGCGACACCCTTCCACTAAGTTTGATATGAAATACTGTACTTGATTCAAACATACTTGGGTATTTGTTTTCATGGTGAAACAATCCGAGAAATTGTTCACTTACCAAGGCACAAACGGCTACCTTTTCACTGGAAGGCGTACAACTGAAATGAATGCAAGCTTCGACCTAGTTATCAACTTATGCCTCAAATTGTTATGCTCACAAAGAGAAACAATGACAGTTAATACCACAATGTAAAGAAGGATTTCTTTTGTCTACTTAGCTGTTTGAGTTCAGATAGCTAAACAAAGATATCGGAAAAAGCCTCATGTTATTTTCCCATTGGAACTAACAATAGGCAAATGATGAATAAGTTCCAAACTAACTAGCTGCAATATATTATTCATCATTTTCTTTTCAAATGGAGGCTAATTTTTGAAATTTGTTCATTACACAAACCCATGAAATAACGAAATCCGCGGATTATCCTTGCGTGCTGTTTTCATCTGCATTGTTAACAGAATTTTCAAACTGTAGCTGTTGGGAAGAACTATTATTTGTAAATGAAATTAAAATATTCAAACATCTTCACACACTCTTCTGAGCCAATCATCGATACAAAATCTCCTTAACCTTGATTCATTTAAAAATTAAAAATAAAATAAATGACACTACCGTATGGAGTTTTCCTGTCAGACTAGCACGAAGAATTCATTTGGTTCAAAATTTGCCCCTTACTTTGGTTGTATTGGTTGTAAAGTGGTTTGCTGGAATGCCATGTAAACAAAATTGATGGGTGGCTTTATCTTATAAAACTGAAATAGAAAACTCTCAGACTTTTTCTATTTACATAAAACGATACAAACTATAAAGACATGATTGACCATCGCAGTTATACACACAACTAAAGCAGTTGTGAAATTAAAGCTTGAAAAATATTCACGCCTGAACGGGATTCGAACCCATACATATATACATACATTACATACATTACTTTATTTACCGTCGGATTTCAGAGTAACTTATGCAGCTAATATCTCTGACCATTTAACCATCAGAACAGAGATGGACCACCACACCGGGAACTACGTCCCCTTCCCTTTTTCATCAGTGTGTGGGTTCTTTTACGTCCCACAAAATTAATTGTGAAGAGTTGTGAGACGGGGCCTACGGTTTATCGTCCTTATCCGAGAAGACTGGAACGTCTAACCATATTGCAGATGTCGTTGCAAAGGCAGCACTTTCTCCTCAATTATTTAAAGACCCTGAGTGTTGGTCCGGCCAGGGTTTGAACCCGAAACCTCCTGCACGCTAGTCCGGTGCTCTACCACTGAGCTAACCGGTCGGCGGTACCTATGCGATACCGGTGCAGTGTTCTACCAACTGAGCGATCAAGCCAACTGGGTGCTGGCCACATTCTGAGTTGGTAATATACCTGTAAATGGTGAAGAATACAAATGAATATATGAAAGATTACTAAAGGACGTCATCGGTTTTGTGAAAAGTTTTTTTTTGTAATATATGTAGTTCGGGTCATTGACGTCGCCGCCCTATACGAAAAATACACATCTTAAAGCATTTAGTCTTTGGCGACACGACGGGACTAGCGAAAGTTTCCCGCGTCCACTACCGTTCCCCATCCTGGCCTTCCCATACTTGCATCGTAAAAAGGTACCTAATGCTCCCCACGCAGAGAGCACATGTGTCAAATATTTAAAATTTCAAAACAATTATTTTTCAGTAAAACTAAAACTGCTCAATTCTTTTTTGCACCACTTTGGTTATTTACTATCCAGTAACCACATGTCCTCTTAGAGGGGTTTTGTTTTATTTACGTTTTTTACACGAGTTTTCATGGATAAGGGGCCCAAGTATGTGAGAAACGTTTACGTGCGTCGTGATCATGAATATGTGTCTGAAACGAAATATATCAGGTGGTAAGCGATTATAATTTTTTTTCTATCTGAACATTTGTGTTTCAAACGCTGGTTTTTACTGACGCATACTGAGCAAAAGCAAAATACAAAGACACCGTAAGATGTTGATAACTATCACATGAAAGTTTCATTTTGCTTTGCTTTTCTTCCATGAATTTTTATCAATGATCTAGGGTAAGCCTAGCATCACGCGGCCGAAAAAGTAAATTATTACCCAGACTAAGAGACGTGATCTAATATCCAGCTCATCATATTACGCATTCTCATTCGCATTTACAGCAAAA